GCGCGAGACGCCGAAATGGATGCCAATAAGATTCTGAATGGAAAGTTTACTTTTAAAAAGTTGCCAAATGGTTCCATTGACAAGACCAAAGTGATTTGTGTGTTTTGTCGTTGTGAACTGAGCTATCATCATCGCAGCACGTCCAGTCTGAAATACCACTTGATGATGGCCAAGCACACACACACACACACACACACACACACACACACACACAGCTGATGCGAATTCTCCGCCCCCTCGTCAATATCAGGACCTCGCCAGTATTTCTTTCACCCTTTTATTAATGGACAGTGTTACATTGTGTGAGAGATTATTTGCTCCAAGTGAGAATGTTAGTGTGAAATTGAACAGTATATGCAAATGTTGTTTTCAATAAAAAATATTTGCACAAAGCAAGCCGATCCACTTTTCCCATGTTGATTAGAGCATTAAAATGAGAAAAAATAATGGGACAAAAAGAAATCAAGAGGTATTTAGAATAGATAAAAATGTGCGATTAATTGCGAGTTAACTATGACATTAATGCGATTAATCACTATTAAATATTTTAATCGTTTGACAGCACTAAAAATAATATAAACATTTTTATTGATGACTCAATTTTTGTCATTCAGTACCATAAATTACATTTCTTCTGAAAGGAGAGAGAGATTTCTTTGCAAAGGACTTGGTTACATTTATTTAGGGGTGAAATTGGACCAGGATCTTTTTTATTTATTTTTTACAATTTTTAAACATAATGTGTATTCATAAGCTGCTCTTTTAACCCCACACTGCAACTAATGTAATGCAAGTTTGATGAAAACGAATTTCTTCATGTCTCCTTTACAGCGATAGATGTGACGTATCTCCTCGAGGAAGGCTCTGGTCGCCGCCTCCGCAGACGGACGCTTGGACTGAGCGAATTTATTTGCAGGAAGTAATGCTGACAGCACTCTCTGCTGAGCACGCTTGCAGAGCAGCAAGAGAATAATGGATATCGAGGAGCAGAGGTGGACTACACCTGAAAAAAAAAAGAGGGAAAATGGAGGTGGGAGGATATTTATATCTTGCAGTTTCTTTCTAAAGGAACTACAAGAGAGACCAGGCCGAGGTTCGTGCACTGAGGACACGCAATTTGCTGCGAGTCGTCGACCTTGATGCGTTTCAAAAGTGCAAGTGTCACATAGGAAAGTTGAAACTGAAGAAAAGCGCCTTGAAATTCAAACCCAATTGTCATGGATGAACTACGACTTTACTGGTCAAACGTCTCCAATGACTAAGTTGTTAAGGAAGCGCGTGGTACTAAATTTGGCCTTCGTTTCGGCTGCATGTAGAAAAAATGGGAGACCGGTGCCACCTTGTGGTCTACAGTGGCAATGACTTGAAAACTACCAAGAAAGAGCAGAACGAGGCAAAAAACAGAAATAGGAGCGACATAGGAGGTGCAGTGTAGCGCACACACACTGCCCGTAGACTGAGAAAGAAAGGAGAGAGCTGAGAAAGAACGTTGGCTAACTGCACTTTTAACAACACGGACATCATTCGCTCCCCGGAGATGTACGGATAAGACACACTAACATTCACACAGTATTGATGAATGCTGTATGATAAAGCAAAACAAATAAGTATATTACCTTCTTTTTATGTTTTTTTGTTTGTTATACTGCAATTACATTAGAAATGGAGCACGACGGGGGTATCCATGTTTGTGATTTCGGGACTGGGCTGGAATGTTTCGCTTCTGTTATCATGGGCATTGTGATTGGTTAGAGTGGGTGCCAGCTCCGCCCCCTTTTAAAAAGAAAAGTATTTAATTCACCAGCTAAAAAAAACAACAAAACAAAATCTAGCAGTGGAGGCGCGCTGGCTTTAAATATATATAACGCCTTAGAATGCCATGATCCTGAGCGTTTTTTGTTTATGGTAGTGTGAGATTCTTTACGGTGTTTGTGAGTGTGTGTGTGTGTGTGTGTGTGTGTGTGTGAGCCCATTCTGATAATATAAATACGAAAGAGGAAACAACTAAGGGCTTGACAGCAGTTAATAAACAGTTAAATTCATGAATTCACAAGAACTTATTAAATCATGTGATGTCATATTTTTTGTGGTTTGTAGGGCGGGTGGGATGGGGTTGGGTCGCGGTTTTAGTATTGTCATTTTCTTTTAATTTTCTTTTAATTTTTTTAATGGCCTTTCAGGTTGCCATGGAGAATGTTTATATACAAAATCATGATGAGATTTTTTTTGCTCTTAAAGCTTCAGCTATGACAGATAAGTATTTCAAACCCCTTAGATGGACCGACACAGAAAAACAACAACAATGAAAACTGACAAACAAAAGGAAAGTTGTATAGTGCCAAGCTATGTATATATACAGACAGGAAAATGTGAGAAATGTCTCCAAAAGCAATATCTTGATAATGGATTTTGTGTATTGTATTGTACAGGATTCAGCCCTATATGTATTATTATTATTATTATTGTTATTATTATTATTACCATTCTTAAACGATTTGTATTGACAGAACTGTCACACGTAACTTTACGAGAAGTGGAGGAGAAAGTGGCAGACGTTATAATTAATAATCGCTACAAATTTCCATAAACAACAAACCGTCTGAAACCTTGTTACCCAAAAACATGAATTTAGCGCATTTCGAGAGGGAGGATTGTCTGATGAACTTTGTCGAAGGGGACACTGCAGTGACCCCAGACCTGGCACCTGTCACTGTAATAATTCATATGAATTATAATTATTATTATTATTATTACTTTTTGAGGAGAAAAAGATATAATGTTCCTCGTTTTTTTTGCTGCAAAGTGTTGAACACTAAAAAAACAAACCAACATAAAAATGTAAAAATGATATTTTGGCAGAAAAATAAGCTGTCAACCCGATATCATGTTCTTAATCTCCTTTTTAATTTTTTGTTCTTCAAATGAGAAAAGATTGTTCTGTTTTTTTTGTGATAGCGGTCATAAATATAATGCTTGTATTTCTTGTATTTGTGTGTTTTTGTGTGATTTGTTTAGTTATTTTTAGACAATCACAAAATAAGATGCAAGCATTGTATATGGACAGACTGGCAGGCATTTTGTGATGTTGTGTACAGTTTGTCGAAACTTCTTCCACTCTGGTTCAAAGTTTGTAATTATAAAGTCATGAAGATGCTGTTGGTTTTTACTTTTTTTGTTTTGTTTTATATTCTATTTGTTTTGTTTGTTTGTTTGTTTTTTAATAAAAAGCACTACATTATTGTGAATATACTTGCCTGTTGCTCATACATTTAGCAGAGAATCTGTGATGCAGTTCTTTACTAGGTCATAATAACCATTATTACTATACAGACAAATCGTATTTTAATTGTATGGACAGTCAATACATCTTCAAATAAAGTGAATTTTAACTATTGCGTAGCACATTGACATTGTGTACCATCATTTGAACTGCCAAATACATTTGCAAAGAAAAATACTAACTTAATAAATACCTTGTATTTTAATGCTGTCGGATTTAATTAATGCCAGACATAAGTGATGTTTTCACATGATGTAGTTACTGATTCTTAATTCTTTAAATCATCACTATTATGTTCTTAACACATGTGTGCCTTATAATTAGATTTTCTCTTTATTTTATCAAAACTTTGGATTGCAACGGACATTACATTTAGGAAATATTACAACTATGTCCTGACAGAAGAAAAATATTCATTTGAAAAATATACCTTTTTTGTAAGGCTTCATAGCTGTCATATATTTATGAAAACATTTATTAATTCAATTTAGTCTGTAGGTCATATTTTCCTATAACACCTCCTGAAAAAAATGTGATGTACAATTCGCAAAATATTTTTATTTTATTTAATTCAATAGATGGAGCCGAAATTATTTCGGTTGTTTTTAAACCATCCTGCAGTCTCCTTTAAATAAATGTGTTAATATTTTTAGTAATTACTTGACACATTATGATATCTGGGGTTTATCTATCAGTGGGGCGTTTCCCAGAAGCATCGTTGGCCAACTATCGCAATCTCCATTGAACTCTATTGGTAACGAGTCAGTGAGTATAGGAGCAGGCTTCACTCAATGTATATACTGATGAATTTTAAGAGTGCTGGCCTAAAAGATAATAAAATGGAAAAGAGGCCATTTGCCACTTGGTATTTGGCACACTGAAGAAGGCACACGCCGAAACGCGTCTGTGCAAAAATAAACAATATATGCATATTAGTGCGGCCTCTTTTCCATTTTATACTCTATTGGTAACGACCATAGGGTAACGACGGGACTTGCGACCATAGTTGGCTTTGGGAAACGCACCCCAGAGCAGTTTATTTCTGGTCTTCAGAGCCATAGATGTGTATGTAAACGTAGATTAAGATGCCACATTCATCTGCACCAGTCCAGACACGGCGCCATCTTGGAACGGTCAGCATGTCGTCACTCACTGTAAGAAAGAATCAATGATGCCACACAATATTGCGCAGCTTTTGGTTGCTTTAAGAAGATTTTACCGAGATTTAAATTCTCGAAGAGATGGGATAACCTTTCCCGGTTGGATTGGGTTCTTCTTATATGTATTAATTCAATATTAAAGGATTTTAAACTATGGTACATTTTTAGTGTCATGTATCTTAAGGCTGAAGCCTTCTTGTTGTATTGTGTAAGTTTAACAAAATCATCTGCCGAAGTATGTTGCAGATATAAATATTCATACTGAATCAATTTTTTTTTTTTTTTTTTTTACAGTCTATGGTCAAAGTACGGTTGCAGTCTATGTTGCAGACGCAGTCAACTTTGACCATTCCAATATGGCGGGAACTTAGGCTTCTATGCTTCTGTGTATATATCTATGTTCAGAGCTCCCTGTTTGCCGCCATCCACTAGGTGGCTTCAAAAGTAACAGTTGAATTTCAAGGGTTGGCATGACAACGGAATACAACCTGAGCCACCTACAACGCTAGTGCTGAATGAGCAAAGTTAGTTTACTAGCCTATATATTGATTTTAAATAATTAATCATTTAAATTCATTATTTGGTTTTGTTTTGGGTTTTAAAAATTTGAAATAGTTTCCCACTGAAAAGATGAGAAAACGAGTTGAGAAATCCTCCAAAGAGAAAGTGGACAAGGTGGATTCTGGGATTGAGGAGGAAACATCTAAAACCGCAGGTATCCGACTGTAAAGACAGACTGGATTTTGATAATGTGATATTTATTATAACCAAAATATATACCATGTCCCATGATGGCAATTAAAGTCAACTGACTGTCAATGTGTTGTGGTAGGCCTATCACTCACACTAGATGATTACCAGTGTTCAGGAAATCTGGAGATGGACTTCACAGGACTCTGTAAACTCATGGGTGTGAAAAAGATCCCTTCTGTCAAGCTGAAGCAGTCAAAATCTGTGATGGGTAAATGTTGTACATAAGACAATTGTGTTCTGCTCCCCTATTAAAGATGCTTTTTAACGCCATACAACTCTTAATTTTTCCTAATAAAAACCCTAACCTGGACTGAAGAACACAATCGATCTCAGAAATCCTTAGAAAGTCAAATGACAACATGGTCCTCTGAGCCCTGCCTTGAGATAGAGCTGGAGAATGAAGACCAGTCAAAGACAGTCAAGATATCTGGTAAGGCCGATGCTTTATTAGCACTAGATGCAGTTGTTCAAACTCCAAAGAAATATTTCATATCAAAATGTCTTTTATTATTATTTTTTCTATAGGATGGAAGGTGGATGATATGATGCTTCAGGTGCTGAGCAGGACATTGCCGTCCCTCAGTAATTTCCAGTGCTTACAGTGAGCTTTTGTGTGTGTGTGTGTGTGTGTGTGTGTGGTATGTATGTTTATGGGTGTTTGTGTTGCAAAAAAAACAGTATGTTATGTCCATTTCCCAATAATGGTGATGCTTTGCAGCATGTGGCGTGTAGGCCTGACGGATTGCACTTTTGCCTCCTTGAGAAACACAGTGTCTCTTTGCTCAAATCTCAGGTGAGTCAAAACTGTCTTTAATTGCTAGAATGTCTAAAATTCCCATCATTAATCCTTTTTTTGTGCCATTAAGACCCACATTCAGAGTGTTTCATGTGGTTTTTAAAGTGGCCCTATTATGCTTTTTCAGATATTACCTTTCATGTAATGTGTAATATAGCTGTTTGTGATGTAGAAGGTCTGCAAAGTTTTAAAGATTTAAGTGCACGCACAATAAATGGAGTTATTAGCTATGTTTCCATCACCCTATTTTCATGCACATTTTGAAGTATTGCATCAGAAACGAGTGATGGAAACTTCACTGTTGCAAATTTCAACAACAAAAAAAATTCCTAAATTTAAAAAAAGGTTGTTTTTTTCCACCTCAAGCAAGGTCTCTTGCTTGAGGTGGTTTTTGACTTGTGCGAAAAAGAGTTAATGCAAATAATGGGGGATGGAAACGCATTTGCCGAATAAACTCTGACGTAGCGAACATTAAACCCACGTGACTAATCGGCTGTTTCCGCTGATGATGTTTTATTTATTGTTGGTTACTAGGTTACCAACACCACCGTCATCCGCTCGAACAACCGAATGGAAACTTACCTAATTAAAATTTGTTTGATTTGTTTCTCTGATTTTTTGCGAACTTTGAAAAGATTCGCTTCACGTTTGGATGGAAACCCCGGTCTCTCAAAAGATAGAACCGATACTGAACTGCCTGCAACAGGTCCTCAGTAATTCCAGCCTTACTCCTTGCGCAAACCTATGTAGGTTTGTAACAAATGTACAAAATTCAGATATGATATTTTTTCGTTTCGAACACGTGCTGTAAGCAGCAGGCCAATCACAACAGACTGGGCCATCTGACCAATCAGAGGGTACGGGTGGAATCCACATGTACCAGATGTGGCCCGGATTAGAGAGACTGAATCCTTTATCGAACTGTTTTAGACACAGAGGAGATGCTTCGATGTATATTATGAGTAAATTAAAGTGTTTTTTGACCTTGGATGCATGTAAACCTATTGTAGAAGACCTCCAAACCAAAACTAGCATAATAGGGACACCAGAAAACATTAATTAGATCTCAGAATGTTATGTAAACCATATTTCCAAGTCCTAAATGATCATCTTTCATGAAATTATGCTATAGGTTTTGCTTTACACCACAGACTCCTACAAATGCATATGCAATTATTATAAGGTCAGCTGCAAAAATAACTGTCAACACATTTTCAGTACAAATCTTTCACTGTGTGTCCTTAGTAAATCCTGACAGTAGTGTTTTAATGCCAAAAGAGGGTTTGCGCTGCCGCAAACTGTTGGTAAATCTTACCCAAATGATCTATTCGGAAAGTAAATCATGATAGTGTGATAATAGATACCGGAAAATCTGATGACATCATCTACTAACTTATATCTTGTTAGGAAAGTGGTTTTGGATGGCAATCCACTCCCTGAGCAGAGCTACCACTTACTTATAGGGAAGGACAGCATGTGAGTTATTTTTAAACACGCATACACACACACACACACACACACACACACACACACACACACACACACACACACACACACACACACACACACACACACACACACACACACACACACACATTTAAATGTGTTTATAATGTTACCAAAATGTCTATTTCAAATAAATGCTGTTTTGAACTTTTTATTTATCAAAGAATCCTTCCATTCATCAAAAATGTATCACGGTTTCCACATAAATATTACACAGCACAAATTGTTTAATAATAATAAATGTTTCTTGAGCACCAAATCAGTATATTCAAATGCTTTATGAAGGATCATGTGACACTGATGACAGGAATAATGATGCTGAAAATTCAGCTTTACTATCACAGAAATAAATTACATTTTTAAAATAAAAAACAGTTATTTTAAATTTTGATAATATTTCACATTATTACAGTTTTTACTGTATTTTTCATTAAACAAATGCAGTCTTGACTTCTTTCAAAACATTAAAAAAATCTGACCCCAAACCTTTGAATGGAAGTATATACAGATAGTTATAAATACTTTTAACCTAATCCTAACCCTTGTAAAGGTTGGTTTGTCTACAGTGGTTCATGAGATTTGAGATTTGCTCTGCAAAAGTCAGTCGGGCCAAGAGCCCATTCAAGCCCATTTCCAATTTTTCCAAATCGAGGCACCAATCACAAACATCGAGGCGAGCTTTACACGATGACGATAGCTCTGATTGGTTTCAGGTCTATCCAATTGCGCCCAGAGGCATTTGAGCGACGTCCGTTGGTGACTCCCCTTTGGAAATGGGCTGTGAATGAACCTTCCCCAGACCCACTCTCAGTTACAACTGAGAAGGTTCTGGTGTCAACCAGGCTAGGAGAGCCCAAGAATAGAGCTAGAGAAAGAGAAAAAGAAGAGAGAAAGCAACAGTTTGGGTTAGGGTTATTCTTTTATTCCTTCTTTCACCATGTGACTAAAACCCAAATCAGAGACATTCAAACTGACCAATCAGAAGATTACAACTTCCCCCACTGAACTAAAGGTGTGACAATTAAATTTCCAAATGGCCCTTGGAGGGGGTTGGAACAGGAAAGCAAGTCTTTGTTGATTTTCAACCTTACACCCTTTTAGACCATTTTTACAAATAAGGTTCTGTCAGATTTAGCTAACTTCTGGGTACAAATTTGTCCCCAAAATATGGTTAAGTAGGTACACATATACATTTGTTGCTTGCAATATAGAACTTAAATGTATTATAATGTTATCAACATGCATTGTTTGTAATGCATTTTTGTAAAGCTCTTTTTAAATAATGTCTATGCAGGCTGACAGACTTATCACTACGCAACAATCATATAGGAGAGGAAGGAGCTCGTCTGATTGGCTCGTCTCTGTCCACTGTACCCACTGCCAACAAAAACCTCCTGTCACTCAACCTGGCCTTTAATAGCATTGGTGATGCAGGTGCAAAACACATTGCTCAGGTGTGTAGAATAATAGTCTGTCCGTCTGAAGGTGTTCGGACAATTTCTAATGATGTCAAGACTGCATACACTTAAAATTGAGTTTTTATTCTCCCCCATCCCTCTTTCTAAAGGGTCTGCGTCTCAACCGTTCCTTGCTATGTCTGTCCTTATCCCACAATCAAATAGGAGATGAAGGAGCAGCTCGTTTGGCTGAGGTACACACACAGTATGAACTACTTTGCCTAACTTGAGACATTAGACTGTGAAACGTGCATATTTCTATGAAACTCTTTCTCATTTCTTTCTTTAGGTGCTTGGCCCATTTGCTCTGACACATGAGGAGATAGTTGAGAGGAGGAAGCTGTTAACTAAAGTTGAACAATCAGTGATCCAGACGTCCCTGGTTAGTCTTGCAGACTCACAGGAACAGCCTCTTTCCGTCCGCAGCAGCTCTTCGCTGGATCGCCTCAACAAGATTGCAAAGAACACCACCAAAAAGAAGGTAAAGCATTTTTGGAAAGGCTCATGGCTTTGCCAACAACCTCCAGCGGCTAAATGAATGTTGCCGGGAATCCAACCAACATACATGAACTGTGCTAGCCACTATATTTCTGTATCCTATTGACACCTGCATTGTTGCTTGCGACAGAAGCATGCCAAACACACACACACACATGAAAAGAGTATGTCTCTTATGATTTTGATAAAATACAGTGGTTTACAGTTGTTTATGAATGTTTATGTGTAGGACAACCCTAAAAAAGAGGAGAAACCAGCGCCAGCTCAGGTAGCCAAGAAAGAGGAGCCAAAAGTGGCCAAGAAAGGTAATTAAACTAATTTGACTCAGAAGTGCACTTTATATTTGATGGTTTACATGTAAAGTGAATATTTCACTTCTTGTTTTTCACTCAGATGATAAAGTTCCCCGTAGTCAGGCTGGAAAGATAGGACCCAAAGACAAGAATCTGCCAGTTTCTGAACAAGAGGTAAGAATTAATTTAACAACTCATCCCATTGTAAAAAATATATATGGGTGAATAAATATTTAAGATACTGTGAGATATTTCATGAAATTATTATTTACCCATCATTATATGATCTGACATATATTGTAATCAAAAATATAATCTGTCAAACATTTTGAACACATTTCAGCCAGAGAATACAGTGCTTTCATAATTATTAGGCAAGTCTATATTCTGATCATATTTTTTTCCAAGCACATTTTACCAATTCCAAACCACATCAATCTTAATACCTACTATTCATTTTGTATATAATAATTTATAAGTGATATATAATTATTAACTATGGCTGGAAGTGAAAAACGCCTTATGTAGATGTGCATAATTGTTAAGCATGTTTTCTTTTACATGTAAAATGGGCCAAATAAGACATTTACAGTTTTTTTTTATTCGCTTTGGTACTATTTTCACAAGTAAGGTGTACATTTTCAAAACTCTCAGTGCTAATATCACAGCAGATCATCAAAAGTACACCTTTTTTTAAACATTTCATTATGTTTTCAATTGTGTTGGTACAATACTCAAAATCACAAAGTATTCTTTTCACTACACAAAATAACTGTTTCTATATAAATGTTTCATTCACAGTAGATGCCTTTCATAATGCCATTACTATCAATAGTTGCCTTTCATAATGCCATTACTATCAAACTTTTGATTTGCATTTCTTCTTGTTCTAACCACTATGTTCAAAGTGTGTGTGTGTGTCTGTGTGTCTGAAATCCTGGTCCTTGTGGGGACATATACTGTTAGCCCCCATGAGGAAAACAGCTTATATATCATACTAAGTGATATTGTTGAAAATGTCAAAATACAGAAAGTTTTCTGTGATTACTATTTAGTATATGTAGGGGTAGGGGATAGAATAGGCCTATACAGTTTGTGCAGAATAAAAATCATTAGGTCCATGGAAAGTCACAATAAAACATGAAACAACATTTGTGAACATAAAGCGGGATTGAGTACAGAGAGGAAACATTGTATCATGATACATGTTTCATGTAATTGAAACATGTATCTTGTTTGCTGTTGAATTAATTGATTGTTAAAAGAAGATCATACTGTTGTGTTTCGGTGATTAAACTAAATGTTCACTTCTTATTACATATTACAATAATCTTGTGTTTGAAACAATGATTATGTGGAATAAAATGTGTAGAACTGTAATGAAAGCATGAGATCAGATTTTGAAAGAATGACCAGCTGTGTTACAAGTGTGATCAGTTTGGATTTTTTTTACTAAGAGTTTTGAAAATGTACACCTTAGATGTGAAAATAGTACCAAAGCGAAAAAAGAAAAAAAAACCAACTCGCACTGAAAAGTCAGGAATTATTAAAAGCCCATGAGAAGGATGCAATACTATAGAAATCGCAAAATAAAGGTGTGACCATTCATGGACAAGAAATGCTCACCAAAAAAAAAAAACAGGTTGAGAAGTGTAGTAATTTTACTTTCGCCTACTCAGGGATGCCAATTATATGGTGATTGGTACTCTGGTCATCTCTGAGTGAGTTTTGGATCACACGTTACTTAAGGTGTGGTTATATGTACATCAGATGACCACTTCCTCCCTTCTTCAAAAACTTTTACCTTGGCAGTATGACAACACTCCCAACAGGGGGGTTGTTCAATCATTTAGAATTAATGTAACCTGGAGGGAGTTGGTCAGCTGATTTATCTGAAAGATTGATGAGATATTGTTAAATTGTAGAGCCTCTTCTGCATTATCAACACAAGGAAGACACAAGTGTAATAAGGAGCTCTGGAGCTTAACCTTGTTGCAAATGTACATTTGTCTTCTGCTTCTCTGGGACAGACACTCAGAACTTGGTCAATCCACGTTAGTCTCTCTGGCATGGAGACATGGAACGTGCTGCATCTGTTATTGTCTCGCTGGACAAAGACTCTGAACGTAAAGTTGGTTAATGTCTCTTTCCTCACAGACTGGAGACTCAGAATGAGGTCATATCTGTTACTCCCTCACAAGCTGTAGAATCAGAGCATGGAACCTGTTTCTGTCTCACCTTTGCATGCTGGAGACCCAGGATGTTGTATCTGTTATGTCTCAGCCATTGGTAGACTCAGAACTTTGTTGATCTGTTTCTGTCTCACCTTCGCAGGCCCGAGACTCAGAACTTGTATTTGTTGCTGGCTTCCCTGTAACGGGCTGCAGGCTCAGAACAAGGAGTGTCTTTTGAAATGGTACCTTTATCCCTTCCCGATGACAAGGAGATTGCAATTTGGTGCTGTGATTGGCACACAGCACCAAACAGTGCTGTGGGCCACCCATCTTTCCCCTGTGAAACTCATTTCCATAAAGCACACAGTTAGAAGTCTTTAAAGTGTCTTCAAAGTTTTACCAATGCATTTCTCACTTTCCAAACCACCACAAGAATACATTTGGCAATATTCTAAACAAATAGAGTACAAAGAAGATGCAAAAAGATTGAACTGACATGCATTCATTCATTTGTACTGTGGTAGATTTTCCCTTACGCACCTGACTTAAAGTACAAGTTCGGTATTTTCAGCCCATTCTCATCCCAAGGCGTCATACATGTGACGCTTTTGACATTTCGTCGAAATCTTACGAACATGGCATCCTTTAGCGTCAATATGAGACGCAGAACCCAAGGCGTCATACAGGTGACGCTTTTGACATTTCGTCTAAATCCGACGCACATGGCATCGTTTAGCGTCAATATGAGACGCAGATCCCAAGGCAACATAACCGTAACCCTACCCCAGACCTAAACCTAAACAGTGCGTGTTATATTGACGCTAAAGGATGCCATGTGCGTAAGATTTCGACGAAATGTCATATGGCGTCACCTATATGACGCCAAAGGATGAGAATGTGTTGGTATTTTACACTTGAAGCCCTGTTTCAAGATCGTTTCTGATGAAATAGAATGGTTAAGATTTAAATTTGGACACATGCTGCTGTCCCGAGAAATTTCAATCCTTTAGGAACAATCCTTCCTAAAATGCATTAAACTTTGGTTTACAAAGACGTGAAACTCACCGAGTGGTCAGGGGTGTTCACTGATATGGTCACACAAAAATCGCTGAAAAAGATGCTTTCCAACAGGTTTTATCGTAGTTTTTGTCCAAGTCAAGTCAAATGGAGTTGTTCAAAAACTACGATAAAACCTTTTGGAAAGCATCTTTTTCAGCGATTTTTGTGTCACCTATGCAACCATTGTGGAGGTGGGGGGGTGCAACCACAGAAACCGAAATTTCTCGGGACAGCAGCATGTGTCCAAATTTTAATCTTAACCATTCTATTTCATCAGAAACGATCTTGAAACAGGGCTTTAAGTGTAAAATACCGAACTTGTCCTTTAAGTTAAACTTGTGTCGTCTCCTAATCGACGCCCCTAAACGTCTCCTGATCGACGTTCAATAATATTTATCCTCTGGGAGCAGGGCAGAAACTGCATTTGAACCAATCAGAAGTCCTGTCCTTCCCAGGCTTGGTACCAGAGGTCTTCTTCTTGCCCTCTAAAAGGGGTTTGGCTGTTGTCCTAGCATCTTTATCTGATGCCGTTGGACAGTTTGTTTGTGTTAGTCCACCAGGATCCAATCAAAATGTAGCAAAACGTTGTCCACTGTTACGGACAGAGAGGGGCCTGGCCATAAACTGGAATGTACTGTTCACCACAGAAGAAAAGTTATTAACTGCAAAAGCCTTAAGATTTAATGTGAAGAATTAGGTGTGTAACCATCAGGAACCATTTAGTCTCCAGTGCCACCAGAACTTCAACTTACTCAGAGTCTCCAGAAGTACAAGGTGTCAGGTTCTCAAAGACTTTGCTACGGTAAAGAATCCTGAAACGTGACCCCCACTTAATAAGAACCACAAGCTGAAATGTTGAGGGTGACTCTTAAGGGACCAGCACCACTTCCTCTTGTACCACTGTTTGAAGAATTTATATTTCTAGAATCTAGCAGTAAGTTTTGGGAGATCATTTCCTGTCCATCTCCTACCCTGAAAGGTCCAACTTGATCATTGTTAGTAGCACCTCACACCATGACTCCCTCACAACGGCCGCTAAGTCATGATGAGTCACTCTCAACCTATATGTCCGCAAAAAAATCAGTCTTTATCTATTTCGTGGCACTTCAGCTTATGATTCTCATAAGAGGGGGTCATGTTTCAGGATTCCTTGCCCTCTGAGAACCTGACACCTTGCACTTCTGGAGACTAGGTAGATTGTAGTTCTGTAAAAAGGTGGCACTGGAGACTGAGAATTAAAGGATAAGTTCATTTCAAAATGAAAATTCTGTCATCATTTACTCACCCTCAAGTTGTTTTAATCCTGTATGAATTTCTTTCTTCTGCTGAACGCAAAAGAAGATATTTTTGAAAAATGTCAGTCCCCATTGACTACTATGTGATTATTTATATGATTTTGAGCAAATTGGAGTCGAGTTTTATTGTGCTTTTGGGTCAGTAGTACGCACCTTACTGTGCAAGCTTGCTGCAGGTCTTTTGTAGTAATTTTTGTGTTTTTCTGAACCTGCCTTCTCAGAAATCTGGTTGCAGCCATTGATAGTGTGACCGTTCCTTTAACTTTGAACTTGCAAACAATGCTTTCAACGGTGTCTCTTGGAACATTTAGAGCCTTCGCTATCTTTTTGTATTCTGTTCCTTGTTTGTGAAGGGCGATGACATCTTCTCTTGACTTGACCATACTTTTGACTCAGCCATATTTCTAACATGCAGTCCAACGTGACACTCAACAAACCTAGCCAGTTCAGATATTTCATGTGTTCTAGCTCAAGCACAGCTGGTGCAACTAATGAAGCCCTTGATTAGTTGCATCAGGTGTGCTTGAGGCAAGACCTGTTTTGCAGGGGGTTGAATAATTTTGTGATTGCGAAAGTCATTAAAAGTTGCATTTTAACTCAGTTGAATTTGGGGAAACCACTTGAAACATTTTCTGTGTTGAGTTACTTTTGTTTATTTTTTGTTTATTGCAAACAGCTGAAAGTCTGTAAATTTTGCCAATAAACCTGATTTGCAATGGGGGTTGAATTATTTTGATCACAACTATGTCACTTATAAATGGTTATACACAAGTTTAATGTGGTTTGGAATTGGTATGTGCTTGAAAAAATTTGGTTCAGAATATCGACTTGCCTAATATTTATATCTCCATCCCATCTTAGTCCAGGATAAGATAATGGAATGGACTAAGAAGTCAGAGAAAATAACTTCCTAAATGTTTAGGAAACCTCTTTGCTATAATAAGAGCTTTGAAAATTAAACATCCTTCACATTAAGCATGGGAACATTTGTATGTCAGACAGTGGAGGTGGTTGAGACGGTGATTCCTCTGTTGGATCCTGGAATTGTGCACACTGGAGGGAAAGTCATTCATCCAGGAAACACATGCCTTACTTCTCTGAATCTGTCAGGTGATTTCATTTCAGACTTGGTTTTATTTCAGTATTAGAGTAAAACATACTAGAGTGTTATGGCTGTAACATTTTCTTTTCTGATAATTCAGGAAATAAGCTGACTGAGCAGTCACTCAAGCTGTTCCTCTCATCTTTGGAAGGCCAGGGTGAAGGTGGACTTCTGCGTCTTTCTCTCAATGTGAGTCTCATCACTCTTTTCCTAAACCTTTTTAAAACCCTCTATGGTGTATCGTCATTATAAATGACGCAGAGCAAATTGCATTTAAAATACAATAATAACATTCAACCAAAAAAATAATTACATTTTAGTATTATCATATGACATCCCATTCAGCCAATAAAACTAAAATCCATGATTGGTCACATGCAGTCAAGGCTCCATTGTGAGTTAATTTTAGACTGGGAAATACATATAATTTTTTATTTATTTATATATCATTGTAGCCTGGGAAAAGCCAGACAACTTCCGGCAAATTTAGATTTGCTCTGAAAGTTAGTCTGACAAAGAGCTCATTCAAGCCCATTTCCAATCCGTCGAAATCGAGGCACCAATCAGAAACGTTGGAGCGGGCTTTACACGATGACGACAGCGCTGGGATTTTGAAGCAGATTTTGTAGCCTACATTACAAAGATGGATGCCGCCGTCGAACATCACTCGGTCGAATCAGCTGTCGCGTCTGTTTTAAGCGATTTGAACGTTTCCTTTTTGTTAAAAACCTAGCAAAGAACAACACTCGGAGATGTTTCTCGGCTGCTCTGCATACGTCATCTCCTTCATCGCTCTGATTGGTTTTAGGTCTATCCGCGACGTCCGTTGGTGACGCCCCTCTGGAAATGATTTTTCTATGACGCTTTGCCAGACCATAACTCAGTTACAACTGAGAATGGTCTGGTTTTAACCAGGCTAATATCATTGTACATCCAATGTTGTCATTTTTAATGCACATTTTGTAAAAATCAACAACTCAAAAGTGTTTTGTGAAACACTAAGACCTTTTCAGTAGTTTTCAGAGAGTGAAAATGGATTTGAATATGTGTGAAATTTCAGACAATTTGCCAAAAATAATTTACCCTAATAGGACACATTCCGTTATAAAGGACGGCACCCTAAAAAAGGCAAAGGTCAGATGTAGAAAACAAATTTTGGAAATATGTAAAATATAAAGTCATATATTTTTTCTAGCTGTGATTTCATAATAAGTCCCATACAGGGATAAAGAGCTTTTTTAATTTCAGCTGTTTTTCAGAGAAATCGGTTTCCATCCGATTGTGACATCTTCCTGAAGATACAGGAAATGATGGCTCTCAAGGACCCTCTAAACAAAAACAACACTGGTCAGGTGGAGGATGAACATGGTGAACTAAAGACCACCAGTGCAGCTTAACAATGTAAATGACAAGAAAATAAACGTTAACATAAGAATATAGCATATCAATATCTCATGGTTCCATAATGTTAAACTTCTCTGTCTTCTGAAATCTTTGTTAAATTGTGATTTTCATACATACTGACACAAACCGTAAAGAGCTCTAGACATAGTGCTAAATATTAGTTTGTTTAACCTTTTGTTCACTAAATGTTATTTCTTTGTGGAAAATATTCAAACGCTTACAGAAAAACAGTTTTGTACATTTTGCTCTATTTCTTTTCTGCTACTGTATATTTCAGCACATTTGAGCTGAATAAGTATTTATGCAATTGTCATTGTGTCATATGCTACATGTTTATGAAAATAAAGCAAGTTCACATAATAAGTGTTACTCTATTTTTCATTCATCTGGAGAACTGCATAATTTTTCCGATTACATACAAAACACTTTAACAAAACCACTGTGATTGGTCCCAGCGCTGAGATGGCACGTGTCAATGCGGCGCCCATAAGTGAACTTGACGAACATACGATAATCTATAAAAGCCATTTGATAGAAAGCACACGATGCAGCTTTAAAAAAACAATAATTATCATTTAGACCAACCACACAACAAATTACATCCAACTACCTCCGTTAAATATATTTTGGTCCTCGTTGTGTGACTGAAGAGATTGACGGTGTGTGGGCGTGGCTAATACTCCCGCGTCAACATGCACAGGTCCAATCAGAATGTCTCTTGTAGATTCTACATCCGCTACCATACAGGCACACGACAGACTGGGTATATTGTTACTTTCCATGTGTTTTTAGTTCTTTTATTGCGGACTTTTTATTGTTTCATGTAATTTCGGAGGCTGTAGGATATCCATAAAGACTCGTCCTTGCAGCAGTGGTAGACTTTGTGCATTAACGACAAGCGGAGTAGTTTACGCCATATAATCAAGTGTCCTCAGGATTCAAAATACCGCAGCAGCAAGTTGGGAAAACTACACAGTATGTATTTCACCTTATGAAATTATCTTGCTTTATGTAATTGCTATAGCAAAGAGTAGCAACATTTGGTTTTATTAGGCCTTACATTTGCTGAATGTTAAAGGAAGTAACGTTACGTTATTGGAGTTTGTGTTATATATCATCTTTGTAGTTTTTGATCTGTCAATCATGCTGTTTAAACTGTCTAGACGAGTGCTGAACATTTGCATCCTCTAATTCTCATTATTAGCCTTTACAAAAGTTTCTGATGACTTCTGGAAGCCATGTATTATGTACACATATTGTACATACAAATACTTCAACAACGAAGAGGAGAAAAGAGCTTTATAGCCAAGTTTATCAAAATCACAATACAACATGCAGCACTAATGTCATACGTTAAACAGTGTACAAAAATAGTACAAAATGTTTTACCTTTTTCATTATACTGCTCCAACAGCAAAGCCATGAGTAGCGGAAGAGATGAGAACCTCCTGAGGATGACAAAGGATGACCTGCAGCGCTGGATCCAGGAAGAGGTGGACCGAAACCCTCATCTGATGCAGAGACGTGAACAGCTTACACAGGTGGAGGAGTGGGTGAAGCTGAGGGAGAGAGACTCAACCTACACCCGCCTTCTGTACAGCAATGCCTCCGAGTAAGTTGTGTTTTTCAGTGACTAATGCCAATATCTTGAAGTCTGGGTGACCCTTTGACTGTTTATATCAGATCAGTCCTTGAGTGTGAGTCGGTGATGAAGGGTCTTTATGGAATGCTGGGATTGGAGTACCAAGACGAGGACTCGGAAGAGGAAGGAGGAGGAGGACCACGACCACAGGACGTCATTCATATCACAGATGATGATGAGGATAGACAGAGAATTAGTGTCTGTAATGGAGATGATGATGATGATGATCTTGTTGTCATTGATCTGGGAGGTAAGTGACAAACATTATAATGGAAAGTGCTTGAAATAATAATACTTTTACATTATGGCATACCATTTTGGGCTCATGACTTTGGTTATTGTTTTGCAGCCACCAAAGAAACCTTGGAACCAATGGTGAGGATGTTAACTTAAAAAAATGGTGTTACACATGCTGATATTATTTTGCGCTTATCATTTTTCATTGTCTTTTTTTTCTGTTAATTTTGCTCTTTTCATTGTTTTTATTAATTTTTCATTGATCATTCCATTTTATGAATTATTTTTCCTTTATCTTTCTTTCAGCTTGAAAAGGTGACTATGGCCATTCAGAAGTCATCCAGACTCGTTCAGGACTTAGTCCAGATGGTGAACAAAACCTCTTCAAGCACTGCACCACCATCATCATCATCTGACATCACCAACAGACCCTCATCGACCTCGACCCCCGAGAACAGCCGTTCTGAATCTGTCACACCAAAACAAATAACGGACAACTCGATTGCAATAGTTAAGACCGAATCTCTTTTGAAAGTACCGGAAATGTCCTCACTTCTCAGCAATTCAGAAAAATTCGAATCTATTGCCGGGCATAATTCAGATTCTAGACCAATTAAGACTGAACCTGAACTGACAGCAATAACAGCTTATGAAATGAACATTTCAAAACAACACGAAACCGCTCCTAGTCAAAACAATACATCCATAAAATTAATCAAGACAGAACCCCAATTAACAGCAGTGACTCCTTCAGAAATGTCTTTGATTCCAAGCAAACAACCAGAAACTATTATCAGTGCTAATTCTGGATCCATTGCAAAAATAAAATCTGAGCCTCAGTCGACAGTAGTAAAGTCAGAAATGTCTTCGCCTCCTAGCGATTCAAAACTATTCAAAATGCATTCCAGTCATAATTCAAAATCCATTGCAGAAATGAAGACTGAACCTCAGCTGACAGCATTAACTCCTGAAATAAATTTGCTTGAAAGCGATTCGGAACAGTCCGAGGGTTTCAATTCAGATCGCAGTGCAACAATTAAAACTGAACTTAAATTATCAGCTATGACTTCTCCTGAAATCCCTTCACTTTCAGGTGATTCAAAACAATTGAAAGCTAGTGCCGGTCATAATTCAGCTTCCATAGCATCAAATGAGTCTGGTCCTCAAGTGACACCAGTGACCCCTTCAGAAGTGTCTTCGCCTTTAAGCACTACAGAACAAATGGACACCTTTGCCAGTGATGATACAGCATTAATTGAAACAAACCAGACTGAGCCTGAGTCGACCTCAGCGACTTCTCCTGAAGTGTCACCGTTGCCGATGAATTCAGAAGAACCTGAAACTACTCCCAGTGATGATACAGCTTTCATTGAAACAAACCAGACTGAGCCTGAGTCGACCACAGAGACTTCTCCTGAAGTTTCACCGTTGCCGAGGAATTCAGAAGAACCTGAGAATATTGCCACTTGTGATTCGGAATCCACGGACAAGACGGAAAAGCCAACAACAAGGAGCAAATCAGCTAAACCTTCTGTGCCCACGACAAGTGCATCAACCAATCTGAGATCAAAAAACTCTACATCCGTCACCAGCACTTCCAGCCAGCAAAAAGAAACAAGTGCACCACCATCACCTGCAGATAGTTTTGAGGAACCGTCTGACTCAGAGGACCCAGATTACCTGCCGCCTAATAGTCCTATACCCAGTGATGATGATTATTATCCCCCTGAATCCCCCCCCTCCAAGGCATCGACCAATAAACCTGATAATACCTCCCGCAATGATGCTTCTGCGGAACCTTCCAAAGCTGCAAAAAGTAAGCTTTATTTATTATTTATACAGTTTATACCTTGGTATATTAACTTAAGCATTGTATATTGTGTTACAGATGTACCTTGTCTGTTCTGAATAATCTTACATTTTGATTTCTATCATGCGTTTTAGTTAAAATAAATATTTCCATTTAAAATATTTGGGGTCAGTGAGTTTTATTTTATTTATTCTTTATTCAGCAAAGATTCAAACAGCAAAGATGGAAAAAAAAAATATTATAACATGGGTAATATGTTTAGAACTTTGTGGGGTTGAATGTCCAGTAAAAAATAAAAATAAGTGTGTTTAGAATAATAGGTGTTAATAAATGTGTATAAAATAACATGGTTTTCGTCACCGCTCCCATCCATCCATCTAGTCAGTAACAGTATTTTTCCTCTGTCACTGTTCTTCTTAGTTTCCAAGCCTTCATTAAAGGATTCCTCTGGGTCTTCTAAAGCACATAAAACTCCAGAGATAAAACTCAACGTTAGCGCGGGAGTTTTGGGGAAAAGGAAACCCGATTTGTGGTGTCGAGGAACAGTACAAGAAGTCCAAACGATGGGTAAGAATGATCTATTCTGTATCTTTCCAAACAAAAGGAAAGGTTTTGGTTGTGTTTTTGTACTAAGCAAGCATTTCTTCTTATTCATTGTGGTATTCATTGGTTGTAAATGATATCATCTGACCTGTCTCATCTTTTCTTTTTTCTTTTTCTTTTTTAGAGAAGGGCAACAAATATAAGGTGGAGTTTAAGCATGGTAAACAGATTCTGCTGTCTGCTCATCATGTGGCCCCTGTAATGCGTCCTGTGCTCAATGATTTGTTTGTTGGCTGTCGTGTTGTGGCAAGCTACAAAAATGATGCAGGAAAGACCTTGTTTAATGGTGGCGTGCTGGTTGAGCTTCCTGAGCGCAAGAATCGCATGAGGTGAATTTATGAGTGCAGTACACATGTAGAAAGTATTTGTTTCTCAAAAAAATTCTGTATGTGAAAATTTTCTTTAGAGATATATCTCTAAAGTTTTACTAAATGTTTCTGTCAGGTTCTTAGTGTTTTATGATGATGGCCAGACAGCGTATCTGGCACTGCCAGACTTTCATGTTGTCTGCAAACAATGTAAGAGATTCTCTTTCATACTCCATTTCAGTCTTAGTTTAATAAATCCCCTGAAAACGCTTGAATTCTGAAAGTGAATTTTTTTTAACGTTTGTGTTTCTTTGCAGTTAGAAAGGTGTGGAGGGATATCGAGGATGAGACATGTCGGGCGCAGGTGAAGGAATATATGCGTGTCTTTCCCAACCCCATTGCTGTGGTGCTTCGCATAGGGCAAGACACCAAGGCGGTGCGAAATGGCAAGTTTGAGGCCTGCACGGTGCTTCAGTTGGATGGCAGCCTGATCCAGATCTGCTATAAGGTGAAACTGAATCCATTGTGGTCTGCTAGTTTTATTCTGTGAACCTGATTCTAACCTTTCAACTGAATCTTATAATTTAGTGCCTTAATACAAAGGTACATGAAAGTAAGTGGGTACTTCATGAGAATGTCACAGCATATTTCATATTTTAAACTCACTTGACAAGCCCCACTGACAGATTTAAGGAGATTCTGATCTTGAATGCTTGATTTTGATGCTGATAAATGTGTTGTTGTTGTTATTTTTTCAGAAAGACAAGCAAAAAGAGTGGATTTATAAAGGCTCAGACAAGTTGGAACACATTATAAATATCAAGAAACGTCTTTCTAAAGACAAACCAGAACAAACCATTCCAAAGAGAACACAACCATCGCCTCAACAGAAAACTCAACAACCTGATAAAACCGGTAGCTTTTTTGTGTTTGGTATTCATTCACTTTTCATGTCTCTTGTATGCAGATTTACAACTAGACCTGTGTCCGTATTCTGTAATCTAGTATATTGCAATAATTATCGTGCATGGTATTGTTATATTGGGCACTTCAAAAAGCAGTGACTAATTCTGCATACATTATAATCTGAATTCGATCAATCCAGTTTTTGCTTTGGTCTGAACAAGAACGACAGACAGGCTGACTGAAAATACAGATTCACTGTCTGTTAGTAGGTGAAGCTTATGGAGAAGCGCAAAAACAGTGGTAACCCCTGTACACAAAGTAGCTCTGCTCAACTTTCTGTTTCTGACACTCATTTGTCTCAGAACGTTTTAACTATTTTCAAACAGCCATTCAGATTTTTGTATTCAATATGGTGTTAATCAAATGACATCAAATACATAAATACTTAAGACTTAATATTTTATTTTCAAACATTTGTTTACACATAGATTTTAACATGCCAGCCCAGAAGATATATCTACATATTGTTATGATTCTTTATAGTTGTATTCTTTTGCGAAATTGGTTTACTTTATACATTTTTATTGTGTATTATTTTATTGTATTAGTATTTATTGTTTTAGTATTTATCTCCAATTCTGTTTCTTGTTTAGCAGGAAATGCCGTGCCTCAGCACAACAAAACTTCCTCCTCGACAAAAGTGGACTCACCGACAGTTACATCAACGACTGTTACCTCAGCAACTGACACTCCCGCACGCGTGACCCGACAATCTGATACCACAGTCGCCAAAACACCATCTATCTCCCCTCAAAATATCATGTCGGCAGCTTTCCAGCCGAAGGTCATCCTCCAGAAGTTGTCTAGGCTCTCGCCCATCTTACGTATGCGAACAGCAAAATCTGCTATGGCAGTCAGTACCTCACATTTAAGGTGAGTAATGGGCTTGTACTAGTTAAATATGGGATGGTATGGAATACTAACCACCAACCACCGCACACTATATTCCAGAAGTGCAAAACGACCCGCCCCGGATGAGGAAGAAGAGTATGTTTCTGAGGAAGAGGGGCACGTCTCAGAGCAAGACCAGCACAAGTCCATATACTTGTATCACCGCTGTTGTCCAGCATGTCTGGATGGGGTAAGACCATCTCAGGTCGACATGCATCATGGTGAAAATCCGCTTCTCATCCCATTGCTTTTTAAGTTTCGGCGAATGACTGCTCGGAGGCGCATCGATGGAAAGGTGGGTGGTGTTTGAGGAAGTTGATCCATTAGGCATTCTATAAAATCATTCAACAATATTGAATGTACGCTACCATTCAAAAGTTTGGGCCAGTAAGATTTTTTTTTAATGCTTTTGAAAGAAGTGTCTTATGCTGAGCAAGGCTGCATTTAAAAAAAAAACTATATATATATATATATATATATATATATATATATATATATATATATATATATATATGAGAGAGAGAGAGAGAAATATTTTGAAATACTATTACAACTCAAAATAACCATTTTCTATTGTAAAATATTTAAAAGTGCAATTTTAAAATACAATACTTTTCAGCAGCCATTACTCCAGTCTTCAGTGTCACATGATTCTTCAGAAATCATTCTAATATGCTGATTAGCTGCTCAAGAAATGTTTTCGTGAAAAATAATAACCAATGTTGAAAAAAGTTTTGGTTAATATTTTGTGAAAACCATTGATACTTTTTTCCAGAATTCTTTGATGAATAGAAAGGTCAAAAGAGCAGCGTTTATTTGAAATAGAAATGTTGTTACATTATAAATGTCTTTACTATCTCTTTTGATCAATTTAATGCATCTTTGTTTAACTGACCCCAAACTTTTGAAGGGAGGTGTTTCTCTGTATGGCAGCTGCACATTAATTTTATTTAACGTAATGTCTCCTCTTTGCTCTCTTTAGGTGTTTTTCCACATTTTCTATCGTTCTCCGTGTGGGCGGAGCCTGTGTGACATGCAGGAAGTGCAAGAATACTTGATTGAAACGCGTTGTGACTTCCTCTTCCTGGAAATGTTCTGTATGGACCCGTTTGTGCTTGTGAATCGCGCCCGACCCCCTTCCACATCCACCAGCCAGCCTCACCTCTACCTGCCGGACATCTCTGTGGGTAGGGAGGTGTTGCCTGTGCCCTGTATTAATGAAGTGGACAATACTCTTGCTCCTAATGTCACTTACACAAAAGACAGAATTCCAGCTCCAGGTGTTTCCGTCAATACAAGCTTGGACTTCTTGATCGGCTGTGACTGCACAGATGGCTGTCGGGACAGGTACTTGACTAAATAAATTGGTTTGAATTTTCAATTATGGATGATATTATTAAAAACATTTTATTTGTATGTGTGACAGGTCAAAGTGCGCGTGCCACCAGCTGACCATTGGGGCCACGTCCTTATGCAGTGGCGGTCCAGTAGATGTTAGTGCTGGATACACACATAAGAGGTTGCCAACAAGCTTGCCAACAGGGTAAGAAACAACCTCTGTCTGATTCTTGTTTGATTACAATGGAATTGCCTCACCAAAATCAGATGTATTGCATCATTGTTACAGTGTTCATTTTATTGAAAAAAACATAACCATGATCTGCTCCAGACCAGTGCATAACTAGATACACTATCATTAAAAAGTTTGTGATCAGTAAGATTTTGTTTAAATGTTTTTGAATGAAGCTTCTTAGGCTCACCAAGATTGCATTTATTTGATAAATTCAGCAAAACAGTACTATTCTGCAATATTATTACAATTTAAAGTAATGGTTTTCTATTTTAATAATATTATATCATAAAATTATAAAATAATATTATAAAATGCAGTGTACTTTTTCCTGTAATGGCAAAGCATCATTTCTTCAGTCTTCAGTGTCACATGATCCTTCAGAAATCATCCTAATATGCTGATTTGCTGCTCAAGAAGTATTATGTTGGAAAGTTGTGCTGCCTAATATTTTTATGGATTTTTTTCTTTGATAAATAGAAGGTAAAATAAAAAAACAGCATTTATTTGAAATGGAAATCTTTTGTTACATTATAAATGTTTTACTGACACTATTGATCAAATTTATGCATCCTTGCTGAATAAAAAAAAAAAATCCAACCTCAGCTTTTGAATGGTAGCGTATCATTTTCTCACCTCAAAAATGACCAATGTTGGGGAAACTTACTTTTAAAAGTAATGCATTATAATATTGCATTGCTCCCTAAAAAAAGTAATTAAATACGTTAAAGTTACGTTATTTTTGTGTTACTTTTTCTAGACTTGCCTGTTTGACTTTTAATTACAAATAAACAAAATCTCTAATCTGTCACAACAAAAGTGAAATGAATAATCCTTCTGCTGGATTGCAGAAGAATAGGTCGCAGTAGAAGTAAGTTCAACACTCTTATTTTAGCAATAAAAACAAAGAAATTAAACAAATGTGATGTTTATCTAAAGTCTTTTTTTTCTTATTGGTATGGTTTAATTGGATCATCAAAGGTCACCAGCAAAGACATTAGATAATAGTACATTAAATATATTAGTGTTAACATATTAAATTATTGTGGGTTTGCGTAATATTCTGTGTTTGCATTTCACTGTTTTTATTCATTTTGAGGACTGAATACTGATACTGAATCGGTTTTTGTACGAGTGCTGCATGAGTAAATGCCTGCTTATATTTAGTCTAGAACTAGAATAACCATCATGTTCACACAGCACACAAAACCTCTGCATTTATTCCCGATTTCTCTCAACATGGGAACAGAGGTGTCAGTCAAAACAACGTAACATGCATTGCTTATTTGAAAAAGTAAATGGTAAAAGGTAATGGGCTACTTTACTCGTTACTTGAAAAAGTTGTCTGATTACGTAACTCCTGTTTATATGTAATGCATGACAATCCAACACTGAAAATGACATTACACTTATGTTTTCAAACACCCTCGCTCTTCTCTCACTCCCTTTCCATCTCTGTAGGGTGTACGAGTGTAACCCTCTGTGCCGCTGTGACCCGAGAATGTGCAGCAACAGGCTGGTTCAGCACGGTCTGCAGCTGCGGCTGGAGCTCTTCATGACACAGCACAAGGGATGGGGCATCCGCTGCAGAGATGATGTGGCCAAGGGCACATTCGTCTGCGTTTTCACTGGTAAGCAATCATGCATTTGAACCGAAAACCTTTTAGACCCAAACATTTACTTCCTTACCCACCTCCTTCTATCACCTCATAGGTAAAATAGTGAACGAAGACAAAGTGAATGAAGATGAAACAGTGTCCGGCAATGACTATTTGGCCAACCTTGACTTCATTGAGGGGGTGGAGAAAGTGAAAGAGGGTTATGAGAGCGAGGCGTACTGCTCGGACACAGAGGTTGAAAGCAACAAGAAGACCATAACCATGAAAACAGGGCCGTTGCGGAAAAATACTCTCTACCAAGAAGACACTAGCAGTGGTGAAGGTGTGTTGTGTGTGTAAATATTCACAATATAACCAAGAAAATGTGTGTCGGTTTACTTGTATTTGTAACAGAATTTTTTTTTCTCCATTTTCATAGAAAGAGAAGAACCTATGGAGCTGGTCACAGAACAAGAGGAAATGGAAGGTAAGATGCAGTGTGATGTGGGTGTTATTTATATACTATGTTATTGTTTTTATTAATATTTTAAATTAGCCTTAACATTTAAATGTTTAGCAATTTTTTTTCCCCATTTAGGTTTGATTTATAATTTAAGTGTTTTAGTTTAGTAATTTTCATTTAGGTTAAGTTTTTCATCTAATATTTTTGTTTTATTTCATTTCAGCTTTATTTTTCAATATATTGGTTTAGTTAACAATAAAAATCTTAGTTAGATGGAGAGTAAATCATGACTTTTTTCATCCCATTTTGTATAATTTGCTGATGATGGGGAAAGTACATATTAGTAACTAATGAGAGAGTATGAAAGTTTAGGGCATACTATGGATGTAAATCATAAAATCTTTGTCATAAAGTGTTAAGACTGGCCCGATTTGTTTCAAACTGTTTGATGTGAGTGTTGACATGACCTTAAAACTTGCATATCATTTTCATTTATGCATTCGACAGAGACTTTTCTCCAATTCAAGTTGTACATTTTATAAGTTCATGTATTCCCTTGGATTTTTCCCTATAATTTTATTATTACTATATGGTCGACAACATTTAAATGCTTGTGTAGTTGCTTTAGCTTTATCTTTGATATAAAACAGACTAATCCTAAATCCAGTTTTGGATGCATAGCATGCAAATTGGGATGCAGCAGCCATGGACAATAAGGTGTATAGGTTGAAATCTAGCAACTTTTTTTCCATCATTCATGTTGCTCTATTATGTAGCAAACTTGCCTGATGTTTTTCTTGGCCTATCCTCTTTACCTGTTCAGTCTGTGATGAGTCCTTAAGCGCGAGAATACTATCCCATAAGCCACATGAAGCATCTAAAGATGCTCAGAAGAAAGTGACCAAACAAATAAGAGAGGACGGTCAGTTTTTATTCTCTTGAAGAATCATTTTTCATCCGTTTATGCTTTTAGCGGTTCATTGAATTTGCTGAGTTTATAATTTGTGTTTCTAGGTCAAGGGACCTCAGGTCCAAAGCGTTGCTTTGCCATAAAGTCCTGCAAGAGAAGAGTAAAACCATTAGAAACCACTGACACACAAAATGAGAAAACAAAGACAGTTCTGTCTGCCAACAACACCCGCAGACTGTTCAATGGCGAGGAGACCTGTTACATTATTGACGCGAGACAAGAGGGCAACCTCGGCCGCTACATCAATGTAAGCTAAACCTAAGCCTTTTGTGATTGTAAATGTACCAACAATAATACGAATTTGTAAAAATTATGCACTTTTAGATTTTTGTTTTACCATTAATCCTGCCTCTCTCAACAGCATAGCTGCAGTCCAAATTTGTTTGTCCAGAACGTCTTTGTGGACACTCATGACCTCCGGTTCCCATGGGTGGCGTTCTTTGCCAGCAAGTCAGTTCCTTGATTCATAACAGCTTGATTATCAATTCAATTGTGTTGATATACTTCAAAATGAGTGATGTTTACCCACGTTTTGATTGGGAACTCTGACTAGTGTTTCCTAATTCAAGATCATAAATTAACTAAATTCTTAGGGGCCATTCACACAGAGTGTGTTTTCTATTCAACTGCACAAATTTTCAATTTCAAAAAATTTAATTTGAAATCGTTGCATTTCTGTGTAACGCTAGACGAATGTGTTTTTGCTGTTAAAAACGTAAATCGCAGGTCAGTGGAATGAAAAAGTGGTGCGTTTTTTTTTTTTTTTTTTTACTTGAGCAGCAACAGTCAAACACATCCGTCTAGTGCATGCTTGCATGGAAAAGCAGTGCAGTGGAATTATCCCTCAGGGCTGGTTCACACAGAACATGTAACGTCCACCTAGCGTGTGTCTAGAGATGCGTTTTTTTAAATGTTCAACTTCTTTTGACTTGAATGCCGTGTCAGGGAACAGAGTCCTGCAAGCGGGCATGGATGGGTGAACCGCTAATATTTGATGTAACAGGTGGAATATTTACGTTGTGATTTGTGGTGCTGGTGCGGGTCGGGAATCAATGGGCAAGGGCGGACTGCGGGTCCAATAGCCAAAACTGTTTCGACTCAATTCAGTACCCACTGATAGGCAGCTGCTTTCAAACGGTCCCGTGCTTATTTGTTTTCACGCTCTGTAGTCTGAAGAACATCAAAGGTTTCTAATTAAAATGCGATTTGCAGCGTTGAGTACAGCGTTTGCGTGATTGACAGCTTCAGTCATTAAGAGTTCTTGTCATCTTTGGTTGCTTTCTGTATAAAATCTATTCGCAATTTGAATAAAAGTTTTATCTTTCAGTTTCAGGAGAAACAACCGCATTTAAATGCAGAGTGAATCCTCTAAAATATTCCGATAATGAATGACAGTAATAGCTCATATTTGGCTATATGTTCTTTTAATTTATGGAGACCTCTAAGCGTCTGTATAGCCTATGGTGTGATTTATGCACATTTGTTGAAAATAGCCTGTATGGGCAGATTGTTCACATGATGTAGGCATAAGTTTTTTTTTTTTTACATGATGGATGCACATTTGAATCTTTTTCTTTTAATTATTACCATGTTGGGCTGCGTGTCTTTTTTCATAAATGCATCAACTCAGAATGCATAATGTTGGTTCTCACACACACACACTCACTCACATAATTGCTTGTGTTACATGAGAAAATAAATAATTTTTGTCTACCTGATGTATTAGATTTAATGCAGGTTCGGGTCGCAGTCTTTATTTAATATGGGTCGGGTACAGAATTAAATTAGTGCTGCTGTCGGATAATGGCTCGGCTGTTCTGTTAAGTACTTCGGGTTTACCAAACAGGACCCTTGAAGGACCTTGTCAGGGGCCATTCATACAGAGTACATTTTTGGAGTTAAAAACACCAGATGCATGGAAGTGGAACATAAAAAACGCATGGTCTAGAGATGCGTTTTTAGAACACTGTCACGTTGCAAAATGTTTACATGGAAACCTATTCCATTGTTTTTTATGTAAAGATTTAGCAACGTGACAGCACAGTGGAGTGGAAAAATGCATTCTGTGTGAGACGCTGCAAAAGACACAAGACTCGTGCGCAACGCAATAGTAAACTAGGACAAAGTAAAGCAGTGGAATGGTAAAACACATTCTGTGTGAACAGTCCCTTAGCCATATTTTAATTGCCTTGCAGACAAGATTCTTAATGTGTTTGTGTGCGGTTTTTCCTTTCTTCTGTCTTTATCAGGCGCATCAGGGCAGGTACGGAGTTGACGTGGGATTATAACTATGAGGTGGGCAGTGTGGAGGGGAAGGTTCTGCTCTGCTGCTGTGGCTCATTGCGGTGCACTGGAAGACTGCTCTGATCTGCCCCTTTCAACATAAAACACTAAAGCTTTCAATGTGTTGTTGACTTTCATCAACATGTCAGAAATGTAGTTGACTGTTTTGGAAGAGCATTTCATAAATGTGAGCCATTGAATATGAAAAGTATAATACAATATATTAAAGTGTGTTTTTTTTATTGTTTTTAACCTCTACAAAAAATGTGAATAGTCATGTATCTGTGTGTAAATAAAATTTGCAAGTATCAAAAACGACTTTAATTGTAAGATTTGTCTTGTATGTTTTTTTCCAGTCAAATATGCAAGTATGCATTGGAAAATAAAGCTAAATATGAGCAATACCAATAAAGTAAGCAATTATAAAATAAATGTATCGGTAAACCTATTAGATAACTTGCTATTTATAAAAGAGTTAACTACTGTGTTACTCCTTACGTCCTTACGTTACTCCTAAGATTCCTTATGTATATATATATATATTATTATTTTTTTTTATTTTTTTTTTGGTGAAGATACTAGTGGCTATTGTAGTAACTATGCTTACCGTATTATCAACCAAAATTACTACAATTATTACTACTGTAAAAATCATAATTTAGTCTCCTTCAAATACAAGAAACTTCTTAACGTTGTATATATATTGTTTTCTTTTTGTGAAGACACTGGTGGCTATGTAGTAACTATGTTTGTTTGGGTAAATGAACTTTGGGTGATATTTTTTGAGGATTATCATCATGGAATAAATAGTGCACTGTTCACATTGAATGTACAAATGTCCCGCGCGCGTGGTATAAACAACAAGCTTTTGGAGGAGGGGCCGGAAGTAGTTTTTTTTTTTCACACTGTTTATTTGGTCTTGAAAAGTGAGAAAATTTAGCCGAAGCGTCAACACGGATTTTCTTTGGGATAAACGGACAGGGCTGGCTGCTAAAACGGTGAGTACAAAACATAATTTTACTGTCTGCCACTATTTGCCCCTATCTCAGCCGAAAAGGACAAGAACGAGCATTTGAGAAATGGCCAGTTGAAGATTAGAAGATCTCAAAATGGCCGTCGACGCGTAAAGAAGCTAGTCAGCTAAAATTATATATACGTTATATTTATCTTCCGTTTTCAAAAGTTACCACACCATGTCATGTAACGTTATCGACCTTACCGCACGAATTTTAGTTTAACATTAGAGACGATTATTAATCGACTTCCTTACCGTTACGCTACAAAATAAATGGTAATTAAAATAACTTTAGCTAGTTGGTTAGCCTATCTATATGTTGCTGCAAATATGTCGTTTTTTCTTGTAATAATGCATTATTAACATCTGATCATTTTTATCCCTATAATATAGTTTATTTCGAGTTAATAAATATTTTCCTTATATGTTGTTTGTTACAGCTTGGTCTGCGGTTTCTTTGCTAAATATAGAAATTGGCTCGAATAACTGGCTCTTGATATATAGTTTTGGGGCAAAATTTCTCTAAGAATGTATTTCAAATGTCATTTTACTTTTTTCCAGATTAAAAATGCTCTCGAATAAATTTAATTTAATTCTTATTTCTTTGCTAAATTAATTTTCTAAAGTCTCATATGATTTGTTCCTTAATATGTTTTATGCAATATACCAGGATAAATATAAAAAATGCCCAGGCCTGTATGTTATCCTTGATGTATAATATTTAAATGTATTATATTTTTTGTGTGTTTTCCATGCAGACCTTATTGGTATTTAGTGTTCATTACTGTATGACAGTAACAACATGTGTGTCAACAACCATACAAAAGAAAATAATGTGGCAATGTTTTATCAATTAAATTAAAATTAAAATCAGCCTTCTTCGTGTTTAAATAATTTTCTGTCTGTTCTCTAAATGTTTTAACACCCATTCTAGACCTGCCTCTCTAAACTGTCAACATATGGACAGTCATTTGACTTGTCAGTTGACTCCCAAAAGCCACAAGATTAGTGAAGCACTTACATTTTATTTTCTTGTTTATCTTAATACATTTTATGTTATATCTTGAGCAGATGCCACACTCCAGACGGTACCCGTCCTCGGAGAGGGCCAGCCACAGCAGCTACCAAGATCGTTATCGGGACAGAGACCGAGAGCGAGGGAGAAAACCCCGGCATCGGCGCTCACCGACATTCTCCTCCAGCAGTGAACGTGAGAGGAGAGGGAGAGGACACAGGCAGGAGGCCGGCTATGCCCGATCCAGGAGGTATGATCGCTGTGTAGTGAAAGCACTGGCCAAAATTGCAACAACAAAGAAATTCAGTGAAATATTATAATAGTAATATTTCCTTTTATAAATATGTCAATATATAGGCTCTGTCTGAAATGGCACCCTAAACACTCGCGGTCTTCCTACGAGTCTGCACTTTCGTGACCAGGCTGTTGATTGTGGTTTTAAACTACTTTTTATTGTCAGAACATGACAAACATTTTACGTTTTTGAATTCTTTACACTTTTCCAGTCTTTTTTCCTCAACAAAATACATTTCTTAATAGAAATAATTTATTTCTGCATGTTTTAATGGGTGATATTGTTTCAAATCATGAAACCCGGTTTGTGTTGCCTGACTTTGATCTGTGTTGCACATATCTTCAGCACAGTTTGCAGTGCAGGCTGCAATATTAATATTACATGTTTTGTCTCTGAGAAATGCATATTTGACTGTAGCTTGAGTTGACAGTAGAAATAGCTTGAGTTGGGATGCGAATGTAAATTTGTTCATTAACAAAAACAGTAACATCTGTAGAAATTGGAACAACCTAATTCTTATACGGTAAAATTTAAATATTCAGACTTTGAGTTTTATTAAAAATAACTATTGGTCTTCCATAGTAGCATACATTTAGATCATGATGGCCAGTTAAAACCACGCATAAAGCACCTCAATACCATGGTAAAATGTAACTATATGGTTTCTTTGGTATTTACCACACAAATTTTAGTTAAACAATAGAGACGATTAATAATTGACTACCTTGCCGTTACACTACAAAAGAAATGGGAATTAAAATAACTTTAATAACTTTAACTAGTTGGTTAGCCTGCTGCAAATACATATATAGTAAATATATATAGTACGTTGCTGCAAAAAAAATTCTTTTTTTTTTCTTGTTATAATGCATGATAAACATCTGCACAAATGTGTTCCATTGGTATGTAACAGGAAGTAAGACTGTAATTGCTGACGACTAACTTGCTTCAGCAGTTCAGAATCGATTCTTTCTTTTAGAAGACAAAAACTTTATTTGTCATGCACTGATCTTTAAAGCTTTGCAGATACTTTACCTTCACAAACAGCTATATTACACACTGCATCAAAGGTAATCAAAAAAGCATATTAGGGGCATTTATTATTATTATTATTATTACTACATAATATTTTAATGAATATTAATTCAATACCAGGAAGTAAGCAATGGTAACTTGAAAGAATCAAGTTAGTGATTGTATGGTATAAATGCGCTCATCTTCTTCCCAGCTACGACAACCGTTCTTCAGACCGCCGGCCATACGACAGACACTACGGCGAGAGCCATCGGCGCCTGGACCACAGCCGGGAACGGGACAGGGATCGCGACAGGGAACACCGGACGCCGAGCAACTACTTCTCCCGCGACGCCTCGCCCAGCTACGACTACCGACGGGGCCGTGATCGGGACCGCGAGGACTCTTACCGGAGGAAAGGCAGCAGGCGTAAGCACAAACGAAGGCGGCGTAGAACCAGGTCCTATAGCCCATCCTCCTCGGTGAGTACTTCAATACCCGAGCCTGCTCTTTCCCACCCCCAAATCCCCTCTTCTCTCTCAACCTCTACACGCTCCTGTCTCTCTTTCTCCATAACGCTTCTCTTTTCCACAGCCCCAGGATTTGGTAAGTATGAACTCTTTTGTTTTATGTTCTTTTTGTTGACATTTTGTCTTTTTAATAGTGATAGCCTAAGTCTTGGCTTTCAGTGTTTATAATCGAATTGGCCCAACTGTTACATTATAGTGAGACTCGTACAGTAGTCATTAATGTAAACATTAAGTAGTAAATGTGTTTGTTGGGAAAGCCTCTGTAATATCTCATAACTCTCATCCATTCTTTATCTTGCTCTATCTACACGCCTATATAACTCTTTCACTGTTTTTTATGAAAACATATAAATTGCTCCATAACTTCAGCTCTTTTTTAATTTTATTTCCAGTCTCCCAGTCGAGCAACCTGTTTCTTTTGTCATGTTGTGAATTAGCAATGCCTTCACTCATGTGCTCTTCTATGAGTAAATGTTGATGCAGGTTGCTTTTTGTGACTTTTTGTCAGGGTTGCTAGGCAGAGGGATGAGGGGGAGTTTGAAAGCAAGCAAGAAGGGAGGGGTAAAATGTTATCTTTGACTTGATCCCTTGCACTATATCCCTATCGTTATATATATCTCCTCACGTGGGTGTCATACGATTCGCCCCATGACCACCAAACCTACCTACAACAACTACAACACTGCTCATCTTCGTCGCCGTGGCTACGGCTGCCCCCCTCCACTCTCCCCGCTCCGCCCACCTCCCCTCCTCCCTCTGCGGTCGTGGCGTGATCTCTGACCTGTGACCCTGGCCGGGGCCGAAGCAGCGGAGTGACAGCGGGACACGGGCACTGTGTGTGAGGGACGACGAGGAGGGTCACCTGATCTGTCGGAGTGGCGACGTCCTGCAAGAGAGATGTACACACTGCCACTACTACTACTCCTCTACTCCTATATCGTAACCTTTCTCCCTATCAGTACCAGCACACACACAGGGGAGGGCAGGAGGTCATGATCATGATCATGATTGGTGGTGATTGTGATGCTGTCATAGAAAGTTCTCCCCTTTTGCCGGAACAGGCAAGGGGGAAGGCATGTCGAACATGTCTTTAGTAGCTCCTTTTTTTATTCTTTTCAGTGGGGATGGGGTGTTTGTATTGCTGTGTAGAAGTATTATGATCCTTTTTAATTCTTGACTGACAGGTTCCCAGATTTAGTATTTTTCCTAGTCCCATATTATTCTGGTCTTGTTGAAGCATTTGGCTACATCAAGATTCACACTTACCCCTACATCGTATGCTGTCAATCATTTCGATTTAAAGATTTGATTGCTGTGACATGCACAATATTTCCATAGGTACTAGTATGCATGTTATTTTTTATAGTAAATACAGTCATTTTAGTTTTCGAATTCGCTTAAAGCAGTCCCGCTGTTTTAAAATCCCTCAGTTAAAGTTATCTACTTATTAGGGGTCCTTCTGCGTCGGACCTACGCAAAGTCTGTTTCTTTGCGTTTTTTTTCTTTTTTAAACAAATGCAGACTATTTTTTTTGTTGAAAAAACATGCTTTATTCCTTTCATCGAGAGTGTGCGTAGTGATGCTTGTCGTATTCTTTTAGGTTAACCTGAATAGATAGTCACAGTTAAGATTAAAAATGTGATTCTAGGAAACTTGTTTAGGATTTTCTCTTTAAATGCGCTGTCTAATTAAGCTCTTTACATCTCCCCCTCCCCTTTTCTCTACGTCTTTTTCCCTCTGTTTGTCTCTTAGATGAGATTGTCAGCACTTTGGGCGAGGGCACCTTCGGGAGGGTGATGCAATGTATTGATCATCGCAGGTGAGCGTCGTCGCTTAGCGACCAATCAGCTGCTATATTACAAAACCAACATGGTGTGAACTTCAAACAAAATGTGTTTCTTTGTCCGTCTAGTTGTTGGGCTGAAAAAAATCTGCTCTGGTAGGTAAAAATGCAGTGTGTGATTTATTCCAGACAGTAAAAAAATATCTGGGTTCCTATATGCCATTTTGGAAAAGTAGAGTATGGAAAAATATTGGCATTTCCAGACATTTGCCCCAATTTAGTTTTCCATGATAGAAAATTAAGAATTATTTAATGAAATTATATTTATCATGGCACCTGTTTAGTGATTTTTTAGTGATTGTCAAACATGACTGAATAAATTCAATTTTGAGTTTGTTCTCAAGATATTATTAGCACCGTATTACAGAGCCTCTAAAAAGACCTTTGCAAAAAGAATAAAATATTCAGACTTTTGTGTGCGCACAAGAAACCATTAAACTTAGCATATAGGACAATGCACACTGAGCCACCTATTGTTGTGGCAAATTCACAATCTTTGGTTCAGGTCTCAAAGAAATCTTTCAGAGTCGAAGTTTCAGGTCTCAGAAGAATTAACTTTATTGACAAGCAACAAAGTGAGATGCCAGCTGGCCATCTGATCTTTCATGGGCCAGTGCTCTAGTCTTATACCTTTTTCTTATTGTTGGTGTCCAATTAGCGTTCGTATTACTATCCTTTTACACAATGGGCATTTGTATTATTATCCTTTTCTGGCACATCGTTACATTGTATATAATATGTTTCTCTTCCAGTGCTTCCCAACACCTGCATCTCTACTACAAGTTTTTTGGGTACTTTTCCACTCTCTTGTCCCTGTCCTCATGTGCCCTATCCTCACATTCAGACTCATGTATAAGACAGATGAAATATGAAATTCTCCAACACTATCAGCCCATTTCGCTGCGTGGTTTCTTGGCCGTCACAGAGTATGCGTTAAAGCAGACCTAAGGCCTTGAAATATGACGTACTGCTCTAACGAAAGCCGATTTAATTTTTTAAAATATTTTTTATATAGTACCACTCTATTTTATAGACCCTTGAACTTGGCAAATAGTGCACACAGCCATATTGTGCCATCAGCCCATTTTGTGTCATGGTTTCTCCGCCGCCACAGAGAATGCCTTAAATTGGACATTAGGGCTTGATTATTAGAGTTACTACCCTAAGGAAAGTCAAATTTTGAGCAAATAGATCTATTAATTCATGTGCATCCATGCTCTTATTTTTTCCATAGTAAGATGGCAGTGACGCAGGAAAGAAATATCTTATAAAACTAGAAGTTGTATTGCGTAAGCACACACATTTTCAGTGCGCATGTGAATAGTTTCTCAAGGGCACAAAAAAAGTTTCTTGTGTGTGTGCAAAAGTCTGTATATATTTTTTATTTTAGGTGCTCTGTATTTTGCCACATTGAGAAAATCAGGGAAAAACCCCCTGAGAAAATTTTAATATTTACAGATGACTACTATATACCAAATATAAAGCTGAAAATAATGCAGTATGAACCATTTATGGTAAATATGGTCTGAAAATACAGAGGTCTGGAAAAGTATTGAATTTTTTTAATTGGAAAATGTGAAAGAACCCTGAAATATTCAGCGAAATGGGGACCATCCCAGCTCTCACCAGTGGTCTATGGCTTTTATTGATCTATAATCAGCGTTTTTGCAATTTATCAGTTTTACTGGTTATCTCCCTACAACAGACAAGAAATCTAAATACTATCCATCTTATTTTTCAATGCAGAAGTAAGCTATTTCTTGTGACTTCAGATTAGGAATAACAAAGTGGAGTAAATGGTAAAACTATTTGCTCTACAAACCAGTGTTTGATTTTGATCAGTTAAAGTAATATGAATACCAGTTTGCAGTATCAAGCTGCATAAAGGACTGTTTTCGTGCGGCTGACACCGGAAGCCTTGCACATTCAAGGTTAAAATGGCTGTGCTCACTAACCCATAAATATAGTTCATTCCTTTGATTGCAGGGTTGAAAAGATGTAGTTAGAGAGCTATCTGACAGATAAGAGAACATTGCAATGTTTAAACTAATGCTCTTCTGCTTGGTTAAGGGGTGGAGCACATGTTGCTCTGAAAATCATCAAAAATGTGGAAAAATACAAAGAGGCTGCCCGGCTGGAGATCAACGTCCTGGAAAGAATCAATGAAAAGGATCCTGAGAATAAGAAGTGAGTTGGCAAGACAATCTTTACAAAATTAGCACAATTTGAGGAATTGTGTATGAAGTGCTTAAACATCTAGGTGCAAATTTACAACTTGGATGACCTGCTTACAAAATTACACTTTTTAACCTGTCTACTTTTCTCTCTTTCTCAATTCTTTAGTTTGTGTGTGCAGATGTTTGACTGGTTCGACTATCATGGCCATATGTGTATCAGTTTTGAGCTCTTGGCTCTCAGTACTTTTGATTTCCTCAAAGAAAACAATTACCTGCCCTACTCCATCAGCCAAGTGCGTCATATGGCTTACCAGGTCTGCCTGGCTGTCAAATGTAAGTAGACATTCAAGTAAGATCAGTGTTTTTTTTCTTTCACAAATTATGGTTGGACTCCATTTGCCTTGTATTAAATGGCCAGTTCTGCAATTCATAGTATTGTGGTCTTTTTCTCCTCTGCAGATTTGCATGAAAACAAACTGACCCACACAGATCTGAAACCAGAGAACATTCTCTTTGTCAACTCGGACTTCACAATCACATACAATGTGGAGAAGGTAATGAAAGAGTTTGTCATTAGCTTTAACTAAACCAATATTTTGTGTGTGTATGTTAACATATCAGCATCAGCTTTTGAAAACCCCATTAGTGGGCCATTAAAGGAAATCCATATTAATGAACCCCCTTCTCTGAGGTAGAAGCGAGACGAGCGTACTGTGAAGAGCACAGCAGTGAGGGTGGTGGATTTCGGCAGCGCTACATTTGACCAAGAGCACCACAGCACCATCGTTTCTACCAGGCATTACAGAGCACCTGAAGTTATTCTAGGTAAGGACAATCATGCCTCATTCATGACTGACCAAACAGCATGTGTTTTAGCAGTACACATTATCCTGAATTTGAACTTGAATAACTTTTGTTGTTGGCATGAAGCGAGACCAGTTAAGGCACAGGACTAGAATGGGTTAATCGCTGCAGCAACAGCAGATTAGCTTCTTTTCCACCACAAGGAATTTAATTAGTCAGTGACTTCATTCAGCGGACTGCAGGGAATCGTCCAACGTAAGATTGGTTGCCATGAAAGCTGATACCCAACCTTAATCTGTTATGAAATATCCTGCATGTTGCTTTACTGTTAATATAAGAGTAAACGGGTACTGTTATTTATATGTGCAGTACTGTTCAAAGGTTTGGGGTTGGTAAGATTTTTAAACGTATTAGTCTCAAAATACAGTGAAAACAGTAATGGGGGTGGGGGAAGTAGTGACAGAAGAAGTCTGAAGTAGTGAGTTTAGGTATTGGTGCAGAGCCAGTGGTTGTTCTGTAGGCAAACATTAATGCTTTGAATTTAATGCGAGTGGCAATTGGCTTATTTTAAATAATTTTAAATCATCTTGAGGCCCTCTAGTTGAGAACCACTGACCTAAACGATTTCTTCTGCCTGATACTGTACATTGTCCTGCAAGGTTATGATGCATTAACATGATGTCACCACTAGATGACTATTGCTCAAAATTAGGGATGGACATTTTTCAAAAATATTCTATTAGAATATTCTGGTTCATAAAAATCACATATTTATTAAAATGTCGTTTAACAAGAAATACATTATTTTTTTAAGTTTTTGTCATTATTTCTGAACAAGCTTACATTAGTACATTAGGCAATATACATAACAAGCTTATTATATATCTTAAGGTTTTCTTTTAGTTGAAAACATTAAACAATATGTGTAAACAAAAAATATAAAGAACAAAATCATTTAAAGACCCACTCCGATGAAAATAATGTTTTTCTAGGTGTTAACATGTTCTTGTGGCATTTTTCTTATGTTAGAGGACATATCTTTAGAAAAATAGGCTCAAAGTTGTATTTCTGAGTATTTCTACATTCAAATGGCTGTGAATCAGTAGCAGACGCAAAAATGCCGTTTGAAATAGACTGGAGTTGTGACGTAGTAACTCCACTGGGCGGGGCCACAAGCTCATAGTGCTCTATAAGTAAACTTAAATTTAAACTTGATTCTGCAGCACTATGATTTATTCTTTGTGTGATAGCTATGAAAACTTCAAAAAGGTTAATCTGACTAAATGTTTGGAGCATGTCCACAAACATATTTATTTACTAACATGTTATTAGGAGTTATTGGCCTTAAATAGTCAATTCAAGAGATTACAAAAACAATAACGTTACCATTCTGATACATCCACTTGTAGACGACTAGATCTATGTACGTCCTCTTGTTCCTCGTCCGAGCTGGCATCTGGCTCAAAACTGTACGGCTGGATAGCTCCAATATTGTTCTCCATTTTTGTTGCACCGGTATTGACAGGTTGGGGATGTAAGCTAGCGGGAGAGACAGAGCTCTCAGCAATGGGGAGGGGGAGGGTCGTCCCCGTGCCAACGGCTCCGCCCACAACGCAGAGGCGAATTTCTAATGAGCTACTGCCGCTCTGCTGAAGCGAAGACCCAGAAAACGGCACAGGTTTTGTGATTTTGGCTAAAAATGGCATAATCATAATTTAAAGACCACTGGGAATGTTTAAAAATAGCTAAAAAATATGATCGGAGTGGGACTTTAAGCTCAAGCAGCGCGAACGAAAAAAACCTGCTAATAAAGCAGACTGCGCAGTTATCAAACGTACACGCATTATCGTGTTTATATTGTTTCACATTCATGTTGAGAAAAACAATAAAATCCACATGCTCGAGTGAGAAAACGCGCTGCGCTGACAGACGTTGCAGAGACACGGTGTTCAAAGTGAAGTTACTAACAGCACTTTGAGTTTTCTGTTCTTAAACCTGTCTTAAACGAAAATTAAAGGAAGCATACGTCTCAAAATAATTTTGCTACCAGAAGATATCATCTCGGATACCGATGTCCTCGGGGGTACAGCTGCGCTTACCTGCTGTCGGTAATGCAGTGGTTTGCTCTCTCTCTCAGTCGACTGGTGTTTGGATTTCATGCGATTTCTCATTGTGGTGGTGATATTATAATAACTCAGTTTCATTAATAATTGATTAATTTAAAAGTAATTCCATTTTGTAATATCATTTTCATCGAAGTAATTCCTAACTTTGCGAGGCAGACGACAACATTATGTGATCAAATGCAATCCACTTGTTAAACACGCTCCACAGCGCCACCCAGTGCATTTAATTATAACTGAAATAAGAAAAGTAAAATTCGAATAGTGTTTTATTTTTCGAATAATAATTCTAGATCGAATATTCGTGCACATCCCTTCTCAAAATAGTGAACCAAATTGTTTTGCCTTGCAGAATTGGGCTGGAGTCAGCCGTGTGACGTGTGGAGTTTAGGCTGCATCCTCTTCGAGTACTACCTCGGCTTTACTCTCTTCCAGGTACAAAGTCTAGCTCTGCTACTTCCTTTTCGTACCACTTCTCTGAGTCATGACAGCAGGTCTACACAGCCACTCTTGTTTATGTATGTGTTCAATAAGCAGCTTAAGATCAGGTAGAATCTGACCAAAGGGTCACAGGTGTTCATGCACGCGTGTACACTGTAACCAAACACCTGTTGTTTACCCTTTGACCTCAGATGCGCTCACTAATGCTCTCTCTTTCTCATGCACACACAGCTCACTGTATAGGAACATATGTTGACCTGCATTGTAAAAACCCGGCAAAAACATGTTGCTAAAGAGTCTAATGTTTATCATCAACTAAGTAATGTTCATCAATCCTAATTTTATTCTTTTTTTATCTGACTCTTAAGACTCATGATAATCGGGAGCATTTAGCCATGATGGAGAGAATTTTGGGCCCTGTTCCT